TTGTGAAAGCCTGAGAGAATGTTTTCTCTCCATGTGACTCTCCTTAGGCACACTCTACATCATTGATCACTTTCCTCTTTGGCCCATAACCTCCTTGATCAGAAAATTTGGGACACTACTGAGTTATATGACGTTACAGTACAATTTCTCATATGTCCTGAGTTTTAATTGACCTTGGAAGGCTAGGGCCAAAATGTTGGCTTTCCTTGAGGCCTTCCTTTTTCTCTAATGTTGGTCTGCAAACTTAGGTTGTTAACCCTCCAGAAGAGAAGTTTATTGTTATTACCATTCAACTTAGGCTGTTAAGCTTAACCTCACTATCTGTCTGAATGTGAAACATCTTAGGCGTAACATGGAACAGGTATTTTTCATCAAGTATTAATATCTTGAACTTTAAGTCCCTACAGAATATGATGAAAAAGCATTTAAAAAATTAAAATATATTTTAAAAATAGGCATAAAGAATTATATAATTCTTACATTTACACATATGTCTTAATTCCTAAAGTTGATATCTAGGAAAAGGCAATAAATTATCATGAAGAAGATTAAATTAAGAGCTCTGGGTTAGTGGAAATGTTGGGATTGTGGTGATTTTGCTGATGTTCAGGCATCTGTAATGGCTGTACAAAAGAGATCCCATTTTTTTAGAGTCTGATAAGTGATGTTTTTGAAAAGGATTATTTGGGCAAATGACAATATGGCAAAAACAAAGCAGTATAATGGAAGATACAACTCAGGAGGTGAAGGTAGTACAGGGTTGTATGCCTGAATTGCCTGAATTGCCTGAATCCTTTGTTCTTATATTAGGTATCTTCTATAGTTTTTCAGTATCAGCGCTTCAGAAAGGGAGTAGTTAATGGGATACAAGATGAATTAAGATGGGGCAGAAAATAACTGATAAACCAACTAGAGATGGAGACAGATTAAGTTGTGCAAGAAACTCAGATCAAAGGATATGTAATTACAGATGGGAATTCTTATTTCTAGAAATCTATTGTGAGTAGACCACAATTATATGAGTCAATTTTATATGCTGTCACCACAAAATTGATAGTTATGTTAATTAGATTCATTTATATATTGATATATATGTTAGTTAGATGGCTTTAATGATTCTACAACATATGTAAAATTTAAAGCAATATTCCATACTTAATAAAACATACAAAGTTATCTGTCAATTAAAAACTAATGAAGTATGCCTAGAGATATATTTCAGTGATAATGCCCTTGCATAGCTTGTACAAACTCTTCAAATCTATCTCTAGCCCTGAAAGAAGGCAAAATCAAAATAATAATGATAGATTAACATAGAAAGACAGGCAAGAGATAGAAGAAAGAAGCAAGAAAAGTAGAAACCCAGTGAGGAAGGCAAACTAGAGATGCAGAACACAAGGGAGGAATACTGATGGAGTAAGATGTAAAGAAGTGAGAGGGTAAAGGAGGGGAAAAGTTTCATCTATATGAATTGTCAAATCCTAAATTTCAGTGCTGATTTAGAGACTTTTATTGGTTTCAATAAGTTTTCTTATAATATTCTTTGTATTTTCAAATATTTATCACTCTTATGAAACCTATTCAAATCTGTTCTCTCTTAATCTCAAGGAATGATGGCTTTTTGTTTAAATTCAAGAAGAAATAGGAAAAATCTTGCAATAACACTCTGACGTTCCAAACACTAGCATGTATTCAAACTCATCATTTCTTCTTTTACTCCATTTGCTAAACCAGGATTCAGTACCCTCTCCTACTTTAGGTCATTGATTTCTCTAAATTATATAACCTAGAGACAAGACCACGGCAGATAACCTTGCATATCTTTGCTCAGAAATTTTTACCTCCTTAGCTTTCATTGAGTTTTCCAGAAGACAGCAGGAAAAAGAAAGGAAACTATGTCATCTTAACAGAATTTCAAATAAAGAAAAGAGAAAAACATGCAATATGTTCTTATTTCTTTTCCCCAAACTTACCATCTTATAAATCACATCCCAAAGAGATGGAGTAAAGTATATCTCAGCTCTCTTTAAGATTTGGCTACTGGGAACTGCTGAAATTGTTGATGACCCCCTCCATCTGTTTGAACTCTCTTAGTGCCTCCATATACCATATACAGGTGAGTCTTCTCTAAATTCTGTGACTATTACTGCTAAGCATCTTTCCTGAATTTATCCTCCTCCTTTCATAATCTTGCTTCATCTGGAGTTTCACCCCTGTTCCATTGTACTTTTCATGAATTCAGTTGCAATTAATGGACAATTTTTTTTTGGAGGAACCAGGGATTGAACTCAGGCCCTTGCACTTGCCAGAAAAGTGCTTATTCCACTGAGCCGTCTCCCAGCCCCTTGGACTATTTGTTTAACCCACATTCCTCCCAGAGGTTCAAGAATTCATAATTAGACAACTGTGGACATCTTTCACTGAATTGATATCCACACCTTGAAAGCAACATGAACCTGATAGCAGTGTCATCCAAACTAAACCATTCTGTGTGAAATTCTTTCATGTTTCTGTATGCCCCATCTCTCCAGAGGATGTACCTATTATCTATCAAGTGACCTATCCAGAAATCTGACTGTTGTCCTTGATGATATCTTTTTTTCATACTTCACATACAGGACACCAATTCCCTTCACTTTGCCTTCAAAATACCTCTCATATCTTTTTCATTTATTTCTCTCTCTCCTGTTACTACACGAATTCAAGCTGTCATATCTTCTTGGTCTCACAGGGAGGTTCCTAAACTGTTCTTTTGCCTTCTCTAATATTCACCCTTGTAACATACCATTCTTCAAACTCTAGCCCAGGATACTTATAAACTGGAAATTAAATATTATAGTTTCTAGGCATCAAGTGTTTTATGGCATACCATTGCTCATAGGATAAAGCATATAGACCTCCATTTGGGATGTTCCTTGCCAGTGGCGGCATTCTTATTTCTGGACATCTTTCTATTTTGAAGCCACATTAAATTGAATTATTCTAGCAACAAGAACCTTATTGCTAAAAATAGAACCATATTGGTGATCTTGCTCATGACTGGATCATTCCCCCTTCCAAACGAAATATTTTAAAACACCTAAGAAGAGCCATACTTACATATGGAAATCATTTGCTTATCTTGGTATAGCTTTAGAATCTGTGCAGTTCCCCTGTCATGGCCTTTACCACATTTAAAGTTAACATCCTTGTCTATATTCCTTTCTATTTATTGATATCTTTAAGGTCTGTTAAAGTAGGAATCATTTCTATCCTTTTCAAATTTGTGTCTACAGTGTCTCTTGTAGTGCCTAGTGTATGATGGGTATTTATTGAATATTGTATAATGGGTTGTCTGAATGTTGAAATAGTACTAGTAAAGCATGTCTTAGCTAACTATGTATTTCATAATTAGATTATACATGTGCTAGTACATTCTAAGCATCAAAATAGTCTTTTAAAACAATTTCTGGAATAGTTTATTTGGTGACACGAAGAGAAAGATATCAAAATTTTAATATATATGATCAATTTAAAAGAATTTTTCTGATTAACCCTAAATAATAGTGTTGCATTTATACAGTGTTCTAATATAGCAAGTTGACTGAGAATTTCTTTTTTTTTCGAAGTTTTATTGATAAACAGATAGCAATGAGACAGTTTCAAATCAAATCGGAAGTACAGATTCAACAAATAACACACTGCATATATTCTTCTTAGTGGTTAATT